AAAGAAGCCAAAATCTTCTCAGCAGTGACACAATATATATAAAGGGATAACAACCATAATTTGCCACTTGGGAGGTTCAGAGTGGCTCTTCCATTCTTCCATCCCCATGTCAAGCCCCCTCTTTTTTCAACAGGCAGGTGTTGCAGACCTGCAGGTTATTCAGCAAGGTGGTGGGACCTTCATCTAGTGCAATTTATGACCTGTCTAGACAAAGCCATCTCATAGAACTGGGAAGAGTGTATCTCCCAGCTGGACTGGGTAAGTTCCTTCAAAACAACATGTAGGTCAGAAATATGCACATATATAGAACCACAGACTGCTTCAAATGCAGCAAATCACTGAAGAGGTATACTGAAGGGCATGTAAATATGCACTTTTATTCATTGTCCCTGAAAGAAAATGTCTACTAAGATTTGTGTGCTACAGTTAAAGAGTTATAAATTTTTAACTTTTTAAAAAATCTCAGATCTACCTAGTAAGATTTGATTTGCTACATATTTATGTTGCACTATTTATGTCAACACTATTATTTGTTAATTGTAAAAATCATGATGTTATTATTTGTTTTCACAAATATATAGAAATACATTTTTACCCTAACACCACCAGATCCTGTCTCTGAAATGGTGCCTGAAAACATGAAAGTTGTAGAGTTACCCATAGAGCACCTGGAACTAGGTCATTATATGCCACAAGATGGGACAAGTTAATTTCTCCTACTTTCAATAGTATAAGAAAGAGCAAGTTCTTTGGCTGTTGCACATGATTAGTTTTCTAATCAGAATATGGAACCTCCATTATTATACCAAGGGCATGGTGTGATGCAGCTCTGTTAGCTCACATGCAAAGACCTGCTGTTCAATATTCATCCTGATCTTTACTGAGCTACATCCTTTCTGGCAGATCTGGAAGGCTAAAATAGCTAGTTAAATCTTTGATGGCTTCATTACATTTTTTCCAGAAATAATTTTTCAGCCTTTTTCCATCAATAACACAGAAGACAAGAATAATACCATACAGGCTCTTACAATTCAACTAATGCTGTATCTTATGTTCTGCAGTGGCCACTGGGGGATGCCCATAAAAACCTATCAATACAGGCCATGCAAAGTGCTACTGCCCTTGTGCACACATCCAGATGTGTGATTTGGAATTCAGAAGCTTCCAGAGCAAAAGTTGGAAGTTTTGTAAAGAGAAGGACATCCCTACAAAAAACGCCAAAGAATTTTGCACGGAATATATTACAAAGAAGTCAGTAAGAAACAGAAACTTTATTATTCCTGAAATAAATCCAACATGTTAAATTAGGAAACTTATGCAACAAATTATATCCTACCAGTATAAACAGTATCAAAGACCAGTATTTTTTTTCTGAACATCTCATGCCATCTCATTTTCAGAATGTCAGTTAAGAACAAAAATATTACAAAGTCCTTATGATAACTGAAGATGAAACCCAGAGTTAATTTTGCAACAAATCTGAAATTCCCCTTTGATCATTCTAAGGCAATGGCTGCATTTTTTATCACACCAAATAAGCTATAATAAACTGCAACAGCAATAACAGAAAGAAATCCTGTGACATCCCAAGACTTTAGAAAAGTTACAATATCATTGCCTTTTAATGTAAGCACACGTGTTAAATATGCACATGGCTCCATGTGTAGGTGATGTGGTGTGGCATAAATATTTTACTAGCAGGAGTTTAAGTTACTGACTCATTACACACAAATGGTATGAATGTTCTTTTCTGATTTTATAAGTGTTCATATTTTGGTGCCCCTGAATGATTAAGAACAGAAAACTGTGGTATCTGAAAAGAAGGTTTTCAAAAACTTGCAGGAAAGATCTTAATTTTTTATAGGACTTTCCGTATAAAGAGCTACTGAGGTGCACAAAAAAGGAGTCAAGAAACACGTCATTCATGGCTCTGCTCCCCAGCACAACTTTACTGAAATCAAAGGTGTTTGCTAAAGAGTAACTTCTTCCCCTAGTTGCAGAGGTTTTCAGAATAGCTGTCTTTTCGAGAATCTGGCAGGCTTGTATTTACAAATAAACTAACCAATTGACTTCTGAATGTAGGTCACAACACTCATTCCTTAGGTGGCTGGCCTAGTTTTATCTTATCTGAAAGGGCAAGAAGAAAAAAGAAGAGTTAACTGGGCATACTTCTCAGCCCTAAAGTGTTTTTCCCTATGGGAGTGATGCATGAAAATATCACTGCAGGAATGATTTCTTATTTGTAACAAATCTTCCATTCCCTAGGTCTTATTTAGAAAACAAACATGCAAATCGAAACTGCTAGATCAAAGCCTTTAAACCAAAACTCTATAACCTCCCTTGCATTACTTCAACCTGCATATGAGAGTGAGGTTTCAGGAGACCAATGATCTACTCAAAAGGTCTCACCCCAGATAGCCCATTCCTGTACCAGAAATAGTACAGAGCTATAACAGGCTCCACTGCAGTCAAGAATAGCTTAGCAGTGGTAGAAGCAGACATCTCCTCCACGTACTTTGTAACGTCTTTGCAACTCTAAGCTACTTGTCTCAAGACTTCTTTTTTCAAATAGTTGTGGCTTTTTTATCTTGGTTTTTAATTCTGTATGAAAGCCTGTTTTCCAAGATTAAACTATATTTGATCAGGTGGCTGGAAAAAACTGAGCCTGGAACACCATAAATATTATCCTATTATCTGACTGTGATTAAATCAGAATTATACAAATATATTAAAATAATTTGTAGACTGGCAATAAGGATGGCTGTCAAACTGAAATCCCATGGAACTTCAAATGCACCTTAAACACTATATCAGTGACAGATACTTTAAGGTAATATTATTACTAGGTGTCTTATGCTACAGTAATGTTTCAAGCTCTTTCACACAGATCTGTTCAGATAAAAGATGTAATGTTGGCATTACATTTGCCAAAATTGCCATTTGCAATTAAAAATTAAAACTGGCACTCTTTCTATGCAGGCAATTATCTAAACGCAGCTGGCAATCTTCCTTGTTTACAGTGCTGCTGTGTCATGACTCCACTCCATTTGGAAATTTACCACCTTTTTTTTTTTGGGGGGGGGGGGGGTGGGTTTTAAACTTGTCAGCTGTATTTCCAACTTAACTTTTCTAGTTTTAAAGATTTCTATCATTAACTCTAACAAAAAGGTTCAAAACTATAAATTGCCGATTTTGTATGACAACTTCAGGCACTGCAGTAAAACGATTCCTTGGACATATTTTGGTGTTTGTTGCAACACTAATTTACGTCCATCTAGGCCATAGGAAAGAACCTTTAAGAACCCAGACAGCAAAATGTAGCAAATAAATGCCCTCCAAGAAGAAAATTTTGGGTGTAAGAGTTGATTTGCAGAGTAAAACAGAAATAATGGGAAGATCCTCGATGTGGACAAAAATTCTTTTACTGAATAATATATGACATTAAGCATATTTCTACTATTTGTTATCTATAGTAATTGTCATCTACTAAATGAATCTATGCACAAAGTATCTTATTAATCAGACTGCCATGTTTTTGGCCCTTTTTACTTTACAGCTGCTATTAAAGTAAGACTTGAGGATTTTCCTCCTGCTGGGAGAGGAGAATTCTTTATGCTGTCAAACCTTTTAGGGAACTGTAGCTTTTTTAGCCAAGATGCTGCAGCCGCTAGCTTGATTTCCATGATTATCAGGGAACAAATACAGTTACTTACAGCATATCAGTTAAATATTCTGATTGGTTTATGATGGATTTCCTGTAGTCAGATATAACAATACCTTGTTTTATATCCCCAATACAGTAATGCTTAATTTTCTTCCTCTGTAATTGATCACGTTTTCACCCATAAATATGATCCATTGTCATGACTCCTTGTCAGACTGTGTTGCATGTTTTGCTCAACCATCTAAAAGGATTTTGAATAGGGCCCTTCCCTGAATATTACCAAAACCCATTAAAAAAGGAGGATTGCTAATGAAATGAGGAACATGGCTGACCCCAAGGATACTCAAGCAGTGACAGCCACGGGTACCCTCGCACAGGTGTGCCGGGCAAGCCTCTTGAAGTTAAAGCAGCCTAAGTTTCGCAGCGCGGTGACAGTACCGCTCTCCACTGAGCCATGAGACGAAACATGCAGTTCCGTCAGGGGTTTTTTCAGGATGAGGGCGACAGGAACCGTCTCTTGCTAAGATCAAAAGCTCAGCAGCGGCAGGCACCGGCGGAGAAGCCGCCAGCGCGGCGGCCGCTCGCTGCACCCACCCTGCCTGGGGCGGCCCCCGGCGCTGCCAGCGGCAGGTGCCCACACCTGGGGCGCAGCATCCCGCGGCGAGCGCCCGCGTGGGAAGGCGCCGTCACCCGCACTCCCTGCGAGGCGGGGACCAGGCGCGCCCGGAAAACACGCTGGAGGCAGAAACGAGCGCTGCTGCTCCGCGGCGGCAACTTTTCAAACCGCGCAGCGCTCGGTGTCCGCCCGGCAGGAAAGGCGCCGCGGTACCGCTGTCGTACCCACTGAGCCCCATCGTCGCGGGGAGGACCCGGCAGCCGCCGGCACCCCTCGCTCCCTCTAACCTCGAGGCCCGCGTGTGGCCGCGCAGCCTCCCCCCGCACAAGCCAGCCGCCTCGGGCGCCCGGGAGACCAGCGAGCATCTGCTCCCCGCCGTATTCCCCGCCGGTACTCTCTGCCGGGTGAACCGAGTGAACCCCATCACCTCCCACCCAGAGCTGTGCGGGATTTCCCGCCGCCCGCGGAGAGCCGCGCCGCAGGTGGCAGCGGCTCCCGCGCCTCCAGTGACTCCTCCCGGGCACTTTCGGCGCGACTCGCGGGGTACTCGTCCTCGCCTTGTCCCGGCACGGAGTGATGTCCGGGGACCGAAGGGGCAGGCGGGGATGTACGCGCCGCGCCGTGCGGCGGGGCTCTGCTCAGGACAGGTGCGGAAGGCAGCCCGAGGAACGGGAGGGGTCGGGACAGGACGGGAGGAGAGGGGAGCAGGTCAGTACTCACACGAAGGCGTGATAGACGAAGGCCCATCCGCGGGGCCGCTCCAGCACGTTGTACAGGTAGTTCTGCAGGCGGCGGTACTTGGCGTTCCTGCGGCAGCTCGGTCCGCTGCTGTACGACAGCGGCTTCCCCAGCAGGCTCATGCGGGCGCCGTGCTTCCCGCGGCGGCCCTCCCGCAGCCCGGCGGGGGCGGCCGCGCCGCCGGTGCCCAGGAGCAGCAGGCCGTCGCCGCGGGCCGCCGAGCTCGTCAGCGCCCTGCCCCGGCCCGACTCCACATCCTTCATGCCCGCTGCCGCGCCGCTCTTCACCCAGAGCCCCGCGGAGCCGCCCTCCTCCCCGCCGCCGTGGTTGCGGGGCATGGCATCACCCCGGGCGCCGGAGCGGGCGCCGGGGCCGCGGCGGAGCAGGGCGCGGGCGGCGGCGGCCAGGCACCCCGCGGCAGCAGCCCGCAAGAGGCAGCGGGGGCCGAGGGTCTCCGGGCGGCGCCCGCGGGGCGCGGGGGCGCGGGCCACTTTGGGCGCCCGGCGCGGCGGGCCGGCCTGCGGCAGCTTCGCGGGGGCCCCGGCGAGGGAGCGGGCGCCCCCCCGGGCGCGCTCTCCTCCTGGGCGGCGGGGCCCCGCCGCCGGTCCCCGCAGCGCCGCCCGGCGTGGCTCCGCGGCCCGGGACGGGGAGGAGGAGGGAGGGAGGGCAGGTCTTCGCGGCTCCGGCGGAGAGGCCGCGGCTCGGCGGTGCCCGCAGCCGCCCGCTCCCTCGCTGCCTCCCGCGTCGTTTGGCCCGGCCGGGCCGGGCAAGCTGTTGCTCTCGCTCCGAGCGGCGGAGAAAGTCGGCGAGCCGGGCCGGCCGGTGGGAGCAGGCGGGGGCCGCGCCGCCGGGCGCCTTCGCGTCCCGGGGAGAGAGCGGCAGAGACAGCGGCGGTGCCCGCGGCGGGGCGGGCGGCGAGCGGCTGGCGGGACTCGGCGCCCGCGTTCTACGCGCGCTCCCGGGAAATGTCCATGTAAGTCCGAGAAAGTAACAAAACTGCCGTAAGTCCCGGCGGCGGCGCGGGGGAGGATCGGCCGGCGGCGGGACCCCACTGCGGGCAGGGAGTGCGGCTGGCCCGGGCGGGGCAGAGCAGACGAGCCGCCGGGTGTCCCCCCGAGGGGGCGGCGCGGCCCGGCACGCCGCTCCGGCCCTTCCGCCGTGTCCCGGCCTCGTCCGGCGGCGAGACAGCAGATCCCGGGGGCAGCGGCGGGCCTGCCCTTCCTGCGGGCTCCCCCACGGCCCCCGTCAGCTCCGGCCCCGGCGCGGTGCGGCCGGAGCGCAGCGGTGCCGCCGCTCGGTGCCCGCGCTGCGCCGAGACAGCGATGCTCCCCCTGCCGAGCGCGGCCCTTTTACGCCCCGCCGCATCAAGGTGAGCTTGCGGAAAAAAAACACCACCCACCCCGGCACCCGCAGGCGCGGCCGCACCGCGCTGCCCGCCCGGCCGCCGCACCTCGCCCGCTTTGCCCGTGGGTTACAGCCCGTGGCTATCGCCTGTGCTCGGCGGGCAACCCCCGGCCATCCCCCAACACTCTCCCCGCACGCCCGGCCGTCTGCTGCGGGCAGCCGCCCCCGTGCCGCTCCTGGGGCCGCAGCTCGGACAGCGCCCGCCATCCCCCCGGGACGCCTGGGAGACCCGCGCTGCCCGGGGAGCTGGACGAGCCACCCCCGGCATTTCAGCATCCACTGCACGAGAAATAGCTGCATGTCACTGGTTTTGCAGCCTGAGCGCCACGATGTGAAAATGTGACACTGATTCCTGAAGTGTTAATGAAAAACAGTAAGGTGTATGCTAATGTTAAGCGGAATTCAATAGAAACATTCAGAAATTAATTTTCGGGGTTTTTTTCCATTGTGCTGGCTAGTTAGATGCCAGGGTCTCAAGCTTTGATTAACACATGGTCTTCAACTTCCAGAAAAGAAGAAACTGTAAGACACATTTCATGCTCTGGCAGTGAAATTTGTGCTCCTACTAATGTAACATGGACACACCACCCGTACTAATTCATTGCTACGATGTGTCCAATGCCATTCAATCAGAACTCTTTAAATGATGAGTTTGAAGTTCTTGCTGTCTTCACTACACTTTTTCCTCCACTGCAGGCCACTTCTGACAGGAACTTTCTAACACGTGAACCACAGTGGCTACTCAGACTCGTGATAAGGGATGGCAGAAACAGCACACATGTCAAAACAGATGTTAAGCAGTTGATACAACTATCCACAGAAATCCCATTAATATTTAAGCTTTCCAGTGGCACATATCTACTCTTCTTTCTTTGAATTGTAAATTGAGTTAGTTAATCCTTCATTTACTACTTGTTTGCATTTCCCTGGTTTGATATACACAAGTGTTTATACTCTTCATTTTTCTCATCCCTATGTACTCATTTACAGCTGAAGATGTGCAGCATGCCTTTAGCACCAGCCACTCTTCCAGAACCATGCTTAGATTTAAACTCTAGTGGCCTTAGTCACTTGATTTGAGGGCTGATACTCAAATTCTGGAGAGCCAAACTTCAGCCGAGAGCACATGGTCCAGCTCACTCAGCCAGGCCTCTGTCCCAAGGGCACTAACCCTTGAGCTTTGTTTAGTTGCTGGGGCGGGCAATGGCACAGCTCACAGCAGTACATATGCATCACTGGTGATCGGACTGAGGCTTTAAACTGAGGATTGGGCCAATAAACGATGAATATTGCTGAACTCCAGTTCCTGATGTACTTTTTGTGATCCATTAAGAAATATTGTTATAATTCTGTGCCCTCTAGTGGTGCTTAAAATAATCAATTAATTTAAATAATCATAAGGAAAACAGTCTGTGAGCTGTGTCAAGTTGCGCCAGTATTGAAATGTAGCCATAGATTCCAGAACAACTAGAAGCTAACAAAAGTAATACACTTAGTGATGAATTATTTTATTTTTTACAGCATGTGAACAAGTGTATTTTCCCATCTGTTATCTGTTATTAAATAAATCCTTTAAAAAGTATGTATTATGAGAAGACATTTATGGTAATTAATCTAATCCCTATTTGTTCATATGTCAGATAACCAAGGCATGATATGTTGGTTGAATACGGAGATCATTAGCACGCAGGCAGCTGCTGGCCCTCTGGCAGGCAGGGAGGCTGTGCTACGTAACAAAGCTAGTCCTCATCTAAGTATTTATTGCAAAATACAGGTCTGCATTTATAGGACAACAAATTCCCCTGATATTTTGGCTTCAGACTATATAATACCTGCAGAGATGAGTCGTGTGAAATTCTAGCATCTCCGCATGGTCCAAGGTCATCCTGGGTTCAGATGTCAGTAAGAGGATCTACTTGACGAAATCTCCAAGGCAAGAACATCCCAAGGAATCTTGACTTCTCCAGGCTGCAGGTACAGTGTATCACACCTGCGGAGGGACAAGGAAAATGACATGCTAAAGTGCAGCTTTAGAGTCACTATTCCTGTTCTTTATGGCAAATGTCAGCAGCATATTCTTCCAGAATTTAAAAAAACAAATTTTAAGATTGCATTGCATTTTCCAAATGTGCTCATCAAATGTTACATATCCTGACTTTTTGAAGGGTCAGCTGATACATATAATCTTTTTTGATTAGGTAACAAATGTCATATATATTTGGTCAGGGTTTTCTTTCCAATAAGTTACTTTTTATATAGTGTCTTACATCAGTGTTTCTGGTTTTATTTTAATTAAGGAGAGGATGCAATTTAAACAGCAGTGGTAGTCTCTTACTCCCTTATAATTTTCTTTTGTTCTGGAGCATGTACACTTCTTTTCTAAGCCATCTACTAGGGCAGTTTTGGGATTAGCTACACTAGAATTTCAAGTAAGCCCTCACAATGACTAAATTTGCAAATAAATAACAGCAGTACTGAAAAACACTTAGTTTAATTGTGAAACGGGGTAGAAAGTAATAGAAGAAGAACTTTGTTACAGGGTAAAAACAAAGAGGGAAAGGAAGACCAGCCAGGTTGGAGGGCACTGGCCAGAATTCAGGAGGCCCAGTTCACTGCTTTGCTCCATGTTGCCAGGACAGGTAGGATCTGGAGCCTATCCACATCAAATCCAAAATGCCTGAGCATGTAGTTGCCTCAAGTCACTCACAGAACAGATGCTTACCAAGCTGATGAAAGCCAGCTGAGCACCTATATGCAGCTTGTAATATCTACATGGACTTTAAGAATCTGTCTTTGTGCCTGAATTACGTATCTGTCACAGGGGGTGGTAGCAATGTTTTCACAGACAGAAGGATTGTTAGCATAAATTTATGAAACAGTGTAAGATGCTCAAATGCACCAAGGACACAGTAGAAATCACGTACACATTGTGGCTCTTTGAAGCAGAAAAGCAGCCAGAGTGCAAGCTGGAGGGCCTCTGTAGCAACACCTTGCAAAGGTCGGTTTACTGTGGTATCATGTTTTGAGTTCATTTGAGTTCCTCGTTAATACCCTTTTTCATGTTATATAATAGTGCAAGGTATCATGTATGCTCTAGTTTTGCATCTCTTTGTAAGATTTTTCGCTTTCTGCCTAATTGTATGGAGGAGGGGATACTCATAGCTATTCTTGGTGACAAGCATACAAGAGTTAGGAAGTTTTCAAAGCACATAGGTGTTAGGAATAATTAATTTATTATGTTGACCTGTTGTATAACCTATAATACATGGTATGCACCTCCAAGAAAACCCAAATCGAGCATCACTATTGTATAATAAACCATGAACAAAATGTCAGTAGAGATGAACAGCACATTAGGATGCACATTATACACTGTCCAGTATATGTAACATGCTAGCAGCTGTAGTGGTGCTCTGATATTAATATTAAAAACTGTTGGAATACATTGCATTAATATTCAAAAATGTTGGGATATTTTCCAGCAAGCTTTTTTTCACATAAACCAATGAAGCAAAACTGTGAATAGCATGAGGCACTCATTCAGTGAACTTAGCAGAAAGGATGGCCCAACTTTCTCTTCTTCATGAGGTCCCTTAACCCTAAACTCAAGGGAGTACCTTCAAAAGAAATTTGGTTTGGTGTCTCATCTGTTGATTTTGATGTTAAATTGCTATGAGGTACTAAGGTTGAGGAAGATCTGCCTCCACAAAGAGCTGTCCTGTGGCCAGACTTTCATTCCAAGCAGTCCATCTCTGTGTTACTACCAGCACAGGCTAAATTTTAATCAGAAGACAAGAATGGGTGGCTCACTCACAGTACCCGTGCCTACTTTGCTGCAGGTATGCTAGAAACACTTCTGCCTGGTAACTACACCTATAAAAACCAAGGGCAGTTCCCAAGCTGTTAATAATGGGCCCTTCCTCTGCCAGGAGCTGTTTGCTCCTT